AAAGAAAATCAAATAGACCAATATAGAGGGAAATGTAGTAGGCGATAAAAGAATCACTCTCGGGGCGCCTGGGTGGCTCAGTGGGTTCAGCCTCTGCCTTCAGCTCAGGTCGTGATCTCAGGGTCCTGGGATCGAGCCCCGCATTGGGGAGCCTAAACAAGGAGCCTGCTTCCTCCTCTCTCTCTCTCTCTCTGCCTGCCTCTCTGCCTACTTGTGATCTCTCTCTCTGTCAAATAAATAAAAAATAAATATTTTTTAAAAAAGAATCATTCTCTTATTAGCATGGACAAAATAGACTTTTCAATAAGTGATGTTAGGAATATTGGGTAACCGCCTGGAAAAGAAAAATGAAAGAAGCCAAAGAAATACTACAAGAACACATGAGCGAATCCCCTTTAAAATCTTAAGAAAGAGCTTTCTATTCATGACTCAAAATCAGAAACCATAAAAATTAAGGTTGACAAATATAACATCTGCATCAAAGAAAGAAAAAGCACTGGGAGCAAATAACTGAGGAAAACTATTTCTGTATATAAGGGCTAATCTCCACCCAAACAATATAGAGCTCTTAGAAATCAGTAAACACAACAATAACCCAATTTAAAAAAAAAGAAAAGACAAATAATATGAACAAGGAGTTCACATAAAAATAGAAATAGTCCTTAAACACGTGAAAAGTTAAAAATTTTAACCAAGACATCATTTTCCACTTTTTATAACAGCAGAGATTCGAATATTTTATTGCACTCCATTGGCAAGATTGTAAGAAAAGCAGCACTCTCAAATATTGTAATGGGAGTATATACTGGAATATAGTCTAGGAGAGCAATACCCAGTAATCTCACTTCTGAGGATTTTTTTTTTTCTTAAAGATTTTATTTTTAAATAATCTCCACACCCAACATGGGGTTTGAATTTACAATAACACTGAGATCAAGAGAGGCAGGCTCTACTGACTGAGCCAAACAGCAGTCCTACTGGGTATTTCTTTTAAATGGATATACTGCGCACTTATGAAATATCTTACAGATGTGGTCATTCAATAGCAAATGACGGAAAAATAACTCAAAGATTCATCAGAAATAATTCTGCAATGGAAAATTACACAGCTATAAAAATATTAGGATAAAGATCTCCAAGATATGTTGTCTTAAAAGACAAGGTGCAGAATACAGTGTTGACTATGCTACCTTTTAGGTTTCTACTTGAGTAAAAAGACCCTGTAAATACATTAAGAAACTATTATAAAAAATAAAATAAAATAAAATAAAATAAAAAGAAACTATTATAACTGGTTACATTTTTACACTCAAGGAAGAGACAGGGAGCTACTAGTAGGAAGCACAAATGGTGAAGGAGCAAGAATCAGACTTTTCATGGTGTACGTTTTATAGTGTTTTGACTTTTTATCAGACATGTATGCAATATCTATTCATAAAACAAAGTTTATATTTATACAGAGAAAGATACTGTTACACACCTACCAATTACTCATTGTATCATCATCTACCAGACAAAGCCAACTATAAATAAGCTAAAGTTTGCTAACTTGTTACATGAAGATGCAACATATTCAAATAGTTTTACACCGCACTATAGTGTCCAATTATGGTATAAAACACTCCCATCTACAGTAAAAGGTTGCATTTCACCATCAATCTTCCCTATATCATTATTTTATTTTTATTTATTATTATGTTTATGTTTATTTATATTTATTTATATTTATTATTTATTATTATATTAATTTTATTTATATATTTATTTTATATGTTTTATATTTATTATTTTATTTATTATTATTATTCCCTATATCTAACCTTTATATTAATTTTAGACATTCTCTAAGACATTCTATAACATGATTATATCCTTTAATTCTGCAGTCAGCATGGTGACCAATGACTTCATTTAACCTTTTTTCATGGCACATCTCAATATTTTCAGTTTTTCCCCAATTGTTATCTTATAAATTTCAAAGGTAAATTCCATACGGTAATCAAAGCCAGATTAAATATACTAAAAAAAACCACAAAACACTACTCAAAGTTTAATAAGCATGCAAATCACCCCAGGGTCTTGTTCAAATGCACATTCAGATTCCGTACTCTGTAGTAAGACCCAAAAGTCTACATTCGTAATGCTCTCCCAGGCAAACTGATGATACTGGCCTTCAAAACACACTGACTAGTAGAACTCTTAAAATACTACTGAAAACTCTTGAAAACTTGAGATTCATTATATTAAGTGCGACCTGAAATGAGCCAACTGATGCCCAGAACTGGGAAATTATTCCCTCATAAACATCTACTGCTGGCAGTGGTCTCTTGCATCCCACTTTGACCTTATAAATACATTTTCTTTGATAGCTATTTCTAAGTTCATCAGTCCCTCTTAAGAACAATTCAGTGGCTCCCCACTGCCTTGGTTTAAAATGTTTAGTACTGTTTTTAAAATATTCATCAATTAGAGAGGACTCTCAGACAACTAGATTTGTCAACACTATACACCTAATATCACTCCTTCTACCCCCTGTAAGAAGCAAAGACAATGTATGAAAACACACTTTGAAAAATTCAAAGCACTATGTAATTAATTATAAGCTATTTCCCACAATGCAATACAACAAAGGATACTATATCCATAATGGTCTAGAATATCCTCTGTGACTCTATGGGATGCATACGTAATTTAGTGCCTTATAGTGTCTTCTTCATAGAAGGCAATATACTGTTTATATGAAACTAAAATACGTTTCAAACTAAGAATGGTCTCTTTTCTATTACCTATTCCTTCTTATGCTTATGTTTACCAGCATCTAAACTGCCATTTTCTATCTATATAAAATGTTATAGGAGAGAAAACAATCTTATTTTTAGAGAAACAGATTTCTTTTTATAGCAATTCAAAACGCCATCCTCTGTTTCTCTCAAGTATATTGGAATTGTTACTGAAAAAAAGACAAAGATGTAAATATGCATTAGTCATCGGGGAAATGCAAACCAAAATCACAATGGGATACACTCCATACCAACTGGAATGGCTAGAATCAAAAAATCAGATAACAAATGTTAGTGAAAACTTGGAGCAATCTGAACCCTCATACACTGCTGGTAGAAATGGAAAATGGTAGAGCCACTTTGGTAAACAGTCTGGTACTTCCTCAAACTATTGCCATATAACCCTGGAATTTCACTTCTTGGTATATACCAAGAGAAATGAAAATATATGTTCACACAAAAACCTGTAAATAAATGTTTAAAGCATCATTCTTTGCAATAGCCAAAAACTTGCAACAACCCAAATGTCCATCAACAGATGATTGGATAAATAAAATGTGGTATTCAATGGACTAGTATTCAACCATAAAAAAGAATGAAGAACTGTTATATGCTATGACATAGATGCATCTTGAAATACTGTAAAGTAAGAGCAGGCAGGCACACACACACACACACACACACACACACACACACACACAAACCCACTTATTATATGATCCCTTACATATGGAACTCCAGAATAGAGAAATCTAAAGACACAAAAAGTAAATTAGTGGTTTCTTAGGCCTGGGGTGAGGATGAGAGGAAATGGGGAGATATGGGAGTGAAAACTAAAGGGAAATGTATTTCTTTTTGAGGTGATTAAATGTTCTAAAATGGACTATGTTAATGGCTGCATCTGTATATTCATACTCATGAATATACAAAACCACTGAATTGTATACTTTAAACATGAGTTGTATTGTATGTGAATTTTACCTCAAAGCTGCTAAAAATAAAGAAGTAAATATACAGGAATTAAAGACAAAAGCTGACTATTCTACCACATCATCACAGATATAGTATTTAAAAAGAAGAAAAAGCAGTATTCTCTTTTAGTTGTCAAAACTGAATTGCTTTTAACTTAATCTCTAGATTTGAAAACTGACACACCTTCAACTATTTTTTTGTTTAAGTGGGCTCAGCCCACTGCAGGGCTTGAACTCATGACCCTGAGGTCTTAAACTCTTGACCTGAGCTGAGATCAAGAGTTGGACACCTAAGTGCCCCTCAACTCTCTTTGTTGATCATTCTCTAATGTCCAAATAATCAAGTCCCATTGATTCTTCCACCTCTGATTCTTTCATGTTCTACATTGCCACCCCTAGTCCAGGCTCTGGTTACTTCATGTCTGCACTATCCCTGTTCTAACCATTTACCTCTGCCTAATCAGCAAATACAGCCAGTTTTAAGCCCAGTTATAATTTTCTCAGTAACATTTTCAGAACGCCAACGTCCGTCAAATCAAGTTTGAATTTCTCCTACCAAACTTCTGGATTTTCCAATCTGCTGCCAACTCTGTCCCCAACCCCACCTCATTTCCTGATAAATCCAAAAGAACATGTAAGGCAGAGCTGTCTCTTCACTGCTCCCTTGTATATTCTACATGCATTCATTTCGCTGTTCTACTTGTATTAAGCTGTTCTACTCAGAATGTCTACTCTCCACACTTATCTATATCTTACAAATCATTTAAAACCTATTTCAAAGCTCCACATCACCCATGAAGGATTTATGGAGAACTCCAACTACAAATGATTTCTTATATTTCCTAGCTACTTTTTGGACTTACTGCCTGCACCACTCATCTTACTATTTGATTTATATGCCATGTATTTTAGCATTTGATTTATATGCCACATACTTTAGCATTTGATTTGCCTGTCACAGATATTAGCTTCTGATTTACCTACCATCTTATTGTATGCCATTCTTTCATTACATATAGAAACATCTTGTTTCAATAAGATTGTCACCTCCTTAAGATAAGAACTATCACTTTTTTTGTATCCCTGAGACCACACAGCACAATGTTAAGACACAAAATATATATAATTAACTAGCTTTTTCAGGATTAACTATGGATTGTAATTCACCATCATATTGTCCATAATTGTACATACCTTTCTACCATAAATGCAATTAATAAACCCACAGTTCAAAAGGTGAATACAGCACCTTGTCATACTGGCAGACAATTACATTATCCGTGTCAAACAGGTCTGGCACATCCTGATCACTAACGTCATCTCCAGAATTTAAGGGGTCCTAAAGATGAAAGATGGTCACAGTAAGGAATTTCATGATGCTGTGAATTTTTAAAAGACAGAGATACATATAGAAATAAAGGCACTTGGTGGGGTACCTGGGTGGCTCAGTCAGTTAAGCATCTGCCTTCAGCTCAGGTCATGATCTCAGGGTCCTGGGATCAGGCCCCGTATCAGGCTCCCTTCTCATAGGGAACCCACTTTTCCCTCTCCTCCCTGCTTGTGCTCTCCCCTGTGTCCATACTCTCTCTCTCTCAAAGAAATAAATAAAATCTTAGGAAGGAAGGAAGGAAGGAAGAGAGGGAGGGGGAGAGAGAGAGAGAGAAAGAAAGAGAGAAAGAAGGAAAGAAGGAACAAAAGGAAGGAGGAAGGGAGGAAGGGAGGGAGGAAGTTACTTGGAAAGACAATAGTATTGTACTTAAAAAGTCAAATAGCCTGAGTTTGAATCCCAGCTTGGACACTTGGTAACTATAAGAGTGACCTTTGTCAACGTACTAAAACTCTTCATATCTCAGTTTTCTCATCTGTTAAATGAGGGCAGTAATAAGACCCATATGGCTGTGGGAATGTTAAATAACATAAAGCAGGTAGACTTAGTGTGGTATCTGGCATATCCCTAAGGCCACCATAAATGATAGTTAGTACTACTTACCACATTCCACAAATATTTACTGCATTTATTAGAATCAGAGCAGATACTATATGCTTCTAACCTGGCTGCCTTCTGTACCTCCACTCCTGTCCTATAAACCTCCCACTATCTCCAGTTAAGACCAACAAATATAGTAGCCAATTCCCAAATACCTAATACTAGTTTGGATTACAGTTTAAGATAAAAAGTTTAAATACCAGGGTACAAATAAGTCTCATTTTAAAAGACTAAAGACAGGGTTAATCTTAATTGTGATTCCTCTCGATTAAAATATATTAAAGAATAAAGTGTATTTAAAGTATACTAAAGTACAAATGCTGTAAATTTAATTTTAAAAAAAGTTTCAGCTCAAAAGTGATCCTCACCTCTTCTACAATGTCTGTTTGAGGATCTTCGTTATCACTACTGTTGGCAGTTGAAGCTTCATTTGAGATACTGTCAGCTTCTTCTTCAAGTACCTTCAGGTCTCCTGCATCAATAATCCTTAGAAATTCATTTTCATCTACTTCTCTTGTACTTCCTATTTCATCATTGGAAGATGTATCACCGGTTCCATCTATTTGAATTATTTCATTAATATCATCATCAGTGACCTGAATGCTTAAATCCATCTGAGAATTAGAATCCTAGAAAGAGAAAGAAATGCAGTAAAGTTTTTCAAGTTAAAAAGGTGTATAAAACATTTTATCACACAAAATATAAAATTAGTTAAACATTTCACAATAATCTTAAAATATATTTCTTTTCTATATTTATTTTCTTTCCTATGTATGTTCCCTAATTTTTTACTTTAGAACAATTTCAGCATTTCTATGCAACATGGGGGTAAGGTTTAAATCATAAATAAAGTAAACCCACTCACATTCATTCATAGACAACAAATGAGTTTACCAGTTCCAGGTAGTAACTGCTGGCTTTTATATATACCACCTTAAATTTATACAGTACTTGTTAGATTTTAACGCTTTCATTTTATTTTAAACAATAATTCAATGAAGTAGAAAGTAAAGTGATACCATGCTCAATAGATAAATAAAAAACATAAAGGATTATACTAGCTGAAATAAGCCAAGCACAAAAGAACAAAAAGAAATCAAAACTGACAGAAATGAAAAGACAAACAGACAAATCTATACTTATAGTTGGAGATTCAACATTCCTCTTGCAGTGAACAATAGAAAAATAGACTGAAATTTAGTAAGGATATAAAAGACATGAAAAACACAATCAAACAATTTAGCCTAATTGACATTTATAGAATACTCCATCCCAAAATAGCAAAAGGCACACTTTTTTAAAGAGCACACATAATGTTCACCAAAATGGACCATATTCTGCTAAAATAAATCCTGAAAAATTTAACACACACAATGTTCTCTAAGTGCAAAGGAATTAAACCTGAAATCAGTAACAGAAAGATCTGGAAAATCTTCTAATATTTAAAAGTTAACACATTTCTAAATACCCATGGATCAAAGAGTTAAGTCACGAGGGAAAGCAGAACATAATTTTAATTGAATATAAACAAAAACATAACACTTCAAAACTTATGAAATGTAGCTAAAGCAGTGGCTAGAGGGAAATTACAGCATTACATGATTATATTCAAAAAGAATCAAGTTTCAAATCAATGGCCTAAAATTCTACCATAAGAAAGTAAAAAGACTGAATTAAGCTCCTGGCAAGAAAGAAAACAATAAAAAGAGAATAGAAAAAATATTGAGAAAGTTAGACCAAAAGTTCATTCTTTAAAAAGATCAATAAAATTGATAAGCTTTTAGCCAGACTGACAAGGAAAGAAAAAGAGAAAGAAAAAACAAATAAACACTATCAGGGATTAAAGAAGTGGTTTTGTCATAGATTCTGAAGATACTAAAAGGATAAGGAAATTGTCTTCAGCCATTTGAACTGCTATAACAACATACCATAGGCTAGGTAGTTTATAAACAATGGAAATTAATTTCTCACAGTTTTAGAGGCTGGGAAGTTCAAGATCAAGACACAGATTCAGTATCTGGTGAGAACCCACTTTCTAGTTCACAGGCAGTGTCTTCTCACTGTGTCTTCACATGGCAGAGAGGCTAGGCTAGTTCTGTATAGGGTCTCTTTTGTAAGGCAATTTGTCCCATTTGTAAGGGCTCCACTCTGACCTAATCATGCCAAAAGACCCAACCTCCTAACACCACCATCTTTGGGGGTTAGGATTTCAACAATAAATTGAGGGGAAGAGGAACACCAACATTCAGACTGAAATAAGTCAGTTTAAAAAATTAATTTTGGGGGTGCCGGGGTGGCTCGGTGGGTTAAAGCCTCTGCCTTTGGCTCAGGTCATGATCCCAGGGTCCTGGGATCGAGCCCCACATCAGGCTCTCTACTCAGCAGGGAGACTGCTTCCTCTTCTCTCTCTCTTCCTGACTCTCTGCCTACTTGTGATCTCTGTCTATCAAATAAATAAATAAATATAAATAAATAAATAATAAATTAAAAATAAAAAAGAATTTTGTAGTAGCAATAAATGATTAGAAATTGAAATTTTAAATAGCACTAATTAATTTAAATATTTACTTCAAATTTTAGAGAAGTTTCCAAAAGTTACCCCATTGAGCTTAAGTTTTGTGGGTTTTTAAAGTTTTTATTTAAATTCCACTCAGCATTTAGTGTACTATTTGTTTCAGGAGTAGAATTTAGTGATTCATCACTTACTCATAATACCCAGTGCTCAACATAACAAAAAAATTGCCCAGTTTTTAAGAGTCTGCACATCTACTAAGTGGGAAGAAGTCTAAATGAGCTCTTCACCTCCTTGGAGAGATGAGGGCTGCCTCCTCTGTGGAGAGGGAAGCACTCTGAGAAGCTATGTTCATGTGATTGTGGTGCATTGTTTTCAGTTCTAATTGAAACTAGGAAATGCAGGGAAGTGTGATAAAGAAAACAGGATCAGGTGAGTGTGGAAATTAGCGGACTTTTTCCCCACAAAATCTGTAAAGACAGACTAGCTTGAGTTAGGGGTGTGATTTCCAGGTTATATAGGAGAAGAGGTGTCTTAGAGCTAACACCATGAAACCAACAAGGGAATATCCTTCACTTCCCTATGACTCCAGGCACAAACGGCAAGAATGCTCCTTAAGAATAAGCACAAGACTGTCCCAAAAGTAAACATGTAGAGGAGAGGTTGGGGTGGTGATCTATTTAAATCAGACCTAGTTCATACAGTTTTGAGTGTTCTGTGTTTATATGAATATCAGGCACAGTGCCTACTTTACAGAAGCACTCAATAAATGGTCATTGCAGCAAAACAAATAATAATAAAAAATTTTAAAATCTTAAAAAATAAAAACAGCACTAATTAAAGCACCAACAGAAAAGAAACTCATCACATACAAGAGATCCTCAATAAGGTAACATGCAGATTTCTCAGCAGAAACTCTGAAGGCCAGAAGGCTGTGGGATGATATATATTTAAAGTTCTGAAAGAAAAGAATGTCAACTGGGAATTCTATATCTGGCAAAACTGTCCTGTAAAAATGAGTGAAAAATTAAAAGATTCTAAGATAAAGGCTGAAGGAGTTTATTACCACTGGACCTGCCCCACAAGGCTCCCTAAAGGGAGCCCTTTAAATTAAAATGAAAGGAAACCAGACAATAACTCAAAACCATACAAAAATAAAAAGTTTTCTGGTAAAAATACATAAAGAAATGCAAAAATACAAAAAATACAAAAACCAGTATTATAATTTTGTTTGTAATTCTACTTATTCCTGAACAAGATTTAAAAGACAAAAGCATAAAAGCATTTATTATTATAGATCTGTATTAAGGGAACACAATATAAAAAGATGTAATTTGGGATATCATTAACAAAGTGAGAGAAAGCAGAGCTGAAGAGGAGCAGAATTTTTATAAGAGACTGAAGTTGAGTTGGTATCACTTCAAGACCGTAATAACTTTAAGATACCACAAGTAATCCCCATGGTAACCAAGAAGAAAATATCTATAGAATATACACAAATGGATATGAAAAGGGAATCAAAATGTGTCACTACAAGAAAATCAACTAAACACAAAGGAAGGCAGTAAGGGAGGAAATGTGGCACAAAAAAGCTAAAAGACAGAGGAAACAAGTAACGAAATGGCAAAAGTCCTACTCTATCAGTTATTACTTTAAATGTAAATGGATTAAGCTCCTCATCAAAAGACACAAATTGGCAGAATGGATAAAAAAGAGGATCATTAGATATGTTGTCTACAAGAAACTCAAGTTAGAGCTAAGGACACACATAGGTTGAACGTAAAAGCATGGAAAAAGATACTTCATGCAAATACCAACCAAAAGAACTGGGATATGCTACTATCAGACAAAATAGACTTTAAGCCAAACGCTATTAGAAGAAACAAAGAAAAACATCATACAATCAAAACAGAATCAATTCACCAAGATTTGACAATTATAAACATATCAGCACCAAACATTATAGCTCCTAAATACATGTAACAGTGACAGAATTTGAGAAATAGATACCTTTATGATACTAGTATGAAACTTCAATGCCCCACTTCCAATAATGAATAGAACCAGACAAAATAGCAATAAGGAAATAAAGAACTTAAATATTATAGGCCAATTGGACCTAAAAGACATATAAAACATGCCACCCAACAATAGCAGGATACACATTATTCTCATTCTCAAATGCACACAGAACATTCTCTAGGAAAGACCACATTTTAGGCCACAAAACAAATTTTAATAAAAAGACTGAAATCACACAAGGTATCTTTTCTGATCATAATAGAAGGAAAACACACAAGATATGGAAATTAAACTACAGACTCAAAAAATCAATGGGTCAAAGAAGAAATAAAAAAGAAATTAAAAAATCAATCAATCATATAATTGTGGGTTTATTTCTAGGTTTTCTAGTCTTTTCCATTGATCTATAGGTTTGTTTTTGTGCTAGCACCATACTGTCTTGATCACTACAGCTTCCTAATAGAACTTGAAGTCAGGAATTGTGATGCTCCCAGTTTTCCTTTTCTTTTCCAAGACTGTTTTAGCTGTTTGGGATATTTGGAGGTTCTATGCAAATTTTAGGATGGTTTGTTCTAGCTCTGTAAAAAATGCAGTTGGCATTTTGATAGGGATTACATTAAACGTATAGATTGCTTTGGGTAGTATATACATTTTAACAATATTTGTTCTTCCAATTCATTACTTTGAATGTGTTTCCATTTCTTTGTGTCATCTTCAATTTCTTTTAGAAGTGTTTTTATAGTTTTCAGAACTTCTTTGTTTAGGTCTATTCCTAAGTATCTTACCGTTTTTGGTGCAATTGTAAATAGAATTGATTCCTTGATTTCTCTTTCTGCTGCTTCATTATTAGTGTATAGAAATGCAACAGAGGAGGGAGGAGCAAGGTGGCAAAGGAGTACGAGAGCTAGATATCATCAGGGTCCAGGAGTTCAGCTAGATAGTTATCAAACCATTCTGAACACCTACAAACTCAACAGGAGATCAAAGAGAAGAAGAGCAGCAATTCTAGGAACAGAAAATCGACCACTTTCTGGAAGGCAGGATGTGCACAGAAGTGAATCTGAAGCAATATACGGGAAGAGAGACCATGGGGGG